AATTATGTCACTGAGCGATAATAATAATAATAATAATGCCCTCCAGGCCGAATTTTGGTCACGGCGGCCAGCTTCAACGGAGGCAAGCCAACGGCGCAGGACAGGATTATAGTGCCCAAGTGTATGCGCAAGCACAGGTGCACTTTCTATTCCCTCACTCTCGTAATCCGATGGGACGGTAAACCGACACGACCGGAGAGAGATCAGGCGCAGGACCAACAGCTTTACGTGCTTTCCGAGGCACGGGGGTGAGTCACCGACAACTTCCTGACTCCGGGCAACTACTGAGGATTTCTTGACAGAAAAACTCAATAATTGATTTTTTGCCCGACCCGGGATTCGAACCCAGGACCTCTTGATCAGCAGTCGCACTACTACACACTAGACCAACGAGGCAGTCAAACTGCACTGAGCGATACCGTTATAATGTATCTATGCGTGTGTGAAATTTATAGTTTATTGGTATGTGTGAGTTTCGTAGCAACAGACTATTCTTGTTGTGTGCGCAGAGTTCCCCGCAAAAAATTAAAGACAGTTTTGTATCGGATTAACGCTATGGCTACATGTCTGGTCCACGGATGGCCCGTGTCACTCCATATAGTCAATTAAGAAACAAATCTGATGATTTTTTTGTTAAATAGGTCAAGAGTGGTCCCATACAAATTTGGTAAGAAAATTTCACTCCTAAGTTTTAAATTGTTGAAAGTTTTAGTGGAACTGCTTCCTTTGTCCACTCGAAAAATTAGCTCAATGCTGCTGTGTTTCGTATGGTGAGTGTAGAGAACTGGAGACCCTTTTTACTGGAAACGAGGCATTCCATCTTAGTCCTCGAAGGTGACAATGCATCTAAATTTTGATACTTGATTTTTAATTCAGGCTAGGATCAGGGGACAAGTTCTTAGTGTAAATTTCACTGTACGCGGCAACCCGGGTTTGATCCTTGCCGGCAGCAATGAAATTGTTGATTACAATTTTAAGTGCTGATTTATCACGATGATATAACACCTAGATTTCGTGCACATCTCAAATGCCAATTCGGGGAGTCAAGAAAATGAGCGTTTGCGATGTGTCTACATCGAATTTTCAAAAGTATATACCTACACATATGTACACGTTTTATACGTGGTAGAGCCATGCTGCAGCTATAATATTATGGTTATAGCACGAATGGGTCGGCTCGAACGGGGAAGGACCATGCTAACAGAATACCAGCCTAAAATGGCAGTTTATAGCTGCGGTGTTTTGTATGATGAGTGAGAACGGGCGACCCTTTTCACTGGAAACGAGGCATGTCTTAGTCTTCAAGGGTAACAACGCATCTGCTTTTTTATTCCTAATTGAAGATAGACGTAGGTCTGTGTTTATAAATAAGTGTGCATTTATTCGCAAACAAACTGTCTTTATAGTTTGCCGAACTATAATATTTGTAATGTTTTTTGTAAAAGATGGTCAATAAATAAATAAAATATATCGCGAGTTGGCCCAAAATCATTTATTGTGTTTTTCTGTCAAGAAATTCGCAGTTGCAGCTCGAAGTCAGAAAGTTGGCAGTGTTTCACCCCCGTGGTAAGCAAGTAAAGCCTTTGGTCCTGCGAATGGTTTGTCTTCGGTCGTGTCGGTTTACGTCCCATCGGATTATGAAAGTGAGGGAATAGAGAGTGCACCTGTGCTTGCGCATACGCTCGAGCACTATAATACCATTGAAATAATACTAATTTTTACCCAGCACCCATGGTCACGGGAAGAACGGTCCTTCCCCTGACCATGGTCGGGTATTTAAAAAGTTAAATATACGCGATAAATTCCGTAAAAACTAGTATTATTTCAATGTGTAGTGTTCGCGTAAATATAAGAAATCACTATAATCCCATCTTGCGCAGATGACTGGACCCCGTTGAGACCGAAATTCGATCTAGAAGATATTACTAATAACATAAAATTATCATAGCTTAAAAGTAACAAATAACCAACGGGTTACAATAAATTTGGATTACTTTTGAGAATCTGCCATTTTGTTCCTATTTAGCTAGGACTAATTGTTCTGAATACCTAAAAACTAATAATACTTAAAGTATTAATTTTAATTGATATTGGGATTGCTTGTGAATACATTTTGGTACTAAATCACTATGTAAAAGGCTTTGGAAACCCTCCAGAAATGAGTGGAGACGTGTTATTCTTGGAATGTATATAGCCTGTGCTATAAAATATATAATATTTACAAATCATAGAGGCAAACGAGCACTCATACCACCTGATGGTAAGTAGATGCTGTGATCATACATAGACATCTTCATCTATCTTCGATTAAGAATCAGAATGCAGATGTGTTGTCACCCCTGAGGACTAAGATGCAATGCCTCATTTCGAGTAAAAACGGTGACAGCAGAAACACAGCAGCATTAATCTGCTATTTTACGTTGGTATTCCGTAATTTTTTTATCTCCTGGAAAGATTTTTCAACTTTATTAAAAAAGGAAAGTACATAAGTAACTTACTTTGCAATGGTTCCAACGATTGGCACACGGATCCTCTCATTTCTGGAGGGTTTCCAAAAACTTTTTGATAATAATTTGGCACCAAATGTTTAAGCAAGCAATTAATGTCCCGATATCAATTAAAACATTTTATGTAACCTAGTTTTCGCGAATTCCGAGCAATTAATTGCGGCTTAAACAATAGAAATAAATTGGTGGATTACTAAAACAAGAATCTAGATTTATTGTAACCAACGGGCTATTTGTAACTTTGTAACTTTGACTAGTTTGTCTAGTGGTCATTAACACTATTGATGATCGCAAGGTGCCAGGTTCGAATACCGGGTCAGAATAAAATCAATTATTCAATTTTCCTATCAAGAAACTTTCAGTAACAGCTCGTCAAGAAGTTGAGGTGTTTCATCCTCGTGCCTCGGAAATCACGTAAAGCTGACTTCTCTCCGGTCGTGTCGGATTACTGTCCCATAGCACTAAGAAAGTGTCGCATTAGAGAGTGCACCTGTGTTTGAGCACACACTCGTGAACTATATTTCTGCCTAGTGCAGATAACTAGTATCAGTTGAGTCTCGCCGCCGTAATTGAAATTCGTACTAGAGGACATTATTAGTAACTTATAAGTTTGAATTATTTCATATTATTAAGCACACTAATTGAAGTTCAGCGAGCTAAGAAGAGAAAATGAAGATATTTGCAGTTGAACCAGAGTAACAGTAAGTTGAAGTTACAATTGCAACGGTTTCTTGGAGCCTCTTGGCGAGAATTCCTTTGTTGTGATGGGTGACGAAGAGTGCCGTATCATTAGCGAAAAAAGCAGTGTTATCTTCTGGGTCTTTAGGGATGTCACTCGTGAAGAGTGTGAAGAGTAGCGGGGATAGGACAGAGCCTTGAGGGATTCCAGCCTTGAGTAGACGCTTTGAAGTGCGAGTGGCTTCTATTCGGTAGCAAAAATGGCGGTTGACAAGAAAGGCTCCCATAGTGTGAGTGAGGAGTTTGTTTAGCTTGTAAAGTAACTGTGTTATAGCTTGAAGAAGTAAGTGAAGCGTAAGGAAGCTTGCCACTAGATGAAGTAATAACTTGGTAAGATATTAATTAGGTGGTGGGACACTTTTTATAAACAGGTAGTCTTGTCTGTATAATTAACATCATTATGTCAGCAATTAGCAATGCGCGCACTGCGGTGTTTCAGTCTGAAGAGTATATGGTGCCAGTATAATTACGGACCGTGAGGCATTCCATCTTATTTCTCGGAAGTGACAACGCAACTGTGGTTTTCTTTATTTCAGATTGGTTGGAAGTTTCCATGGGCTATAGTAGCCATGTACCATTGGTTGGAGAGTAAGTTTGTTTATCATTTTAGTTTTATAAAAAAATCCTACTGCAATGGATGCAAGTGGCTGAGGTACGTATTTGTGGCGTTTCGTGGGGTAGGTTTTTTTAAAATAGAATAAGGGTGTACGCGTGTATACGCGTGCGCCGGCTTGTTTGTATTAGCGAGCTGACTTACTATGGGTGCATCAGTAATTGTTTTCAGAGACGGCATCATTTTTCCTAGATCCATGTTTCTGACAGATAGTGGTATACTTATCTTGTTTATGGCGATCGTAAAATGTGAGTATTACGAAAAATTTATTCAGATATTTTATTAGAATAAATCATAAAATCAAAGTCAAACGGAATTTTTAAGTGGTTTCTCTCTATTGTAGAGATGATTTGCTTTAACGGATCTTTCGCCTTCCGATAGAAAGTGTTATACACATCTCGTATGTACAAAGCTTAAAATAATATATACTAAAAATTCTGTCAGTTCTTTTAAAAGAATTCACAGACCTCTTGACTTACGAGCTAGTGCTCGGTACAAGGTCGGTCGCTTAACCTAAATCTTAGACTCACAACTACAAACATATAGGGTCAAAGTAATTACATTTAACTCTATATATTAATAATAATAATAAATAATAATAATAATAAATAGAGGGCGTAGGGAAGTGACGACCCCATCGCCCGTTGACGTGACGGTTATGTGACAAAACCGCTAAGTCAGTCAGTCAGTCAGCACCTTGCCAAGAGGTGTGAGCGCCGTGCCTCGGCAAAAATTGATGGTGCAAGGGCCCGCTTGTGCATATGGCCTCACCATGAAACGGCGCCGGGTCTGGGCGTCTCCCGTTAAATGACGCCCTGTATGGATGATGGAACATAGAAGATTACGCAAAGGGCCGCTGCCTGGAGGTCGTCAGGGCGCGTCTGGAGCTGGCGCTGGACGCGACAGCATGCGAACCGCCAGCCGAGCGCGAGGTGCTGCACGACCACCCAGCAGCCCCTCGCATCCATCATCCCCACCAGCTTGCTTGGTGTCGGCAGGGTCTTCGCAGGCCCAGCAATCGGCACCCGCCACTGGTGGAGTACGCCGCATGCGATGGACCATCAATATGAATTCAAACGCATTGCGGGCGTATTTTAGGGCGAAAGGGGGGAGAAATTGGAGGTTTCGCGTATCGGGCTAGGATGCATCGTCTTTTTACTGAGCTGGAGCCATCTATTACTGTCACCGAGCAAAACCTGGCAGACCGAGTTCGGTATATCTTACGCTCAAATATATTTGATGGCGCCGAACTCGAACGGCTACGACGTGAGGCTGTTCCCTCATCAAATGAAAACGCTACGACTGAGGGTGCGGTGCCACAAGTTGCAGAACAACCCGCACACGTGGATGCCGCCGAGAATACCCCAGTGGTTGCTGATTCAAATGATGAAGGAACATTCACCCAGGAACTAGAAATAGAGCAAATGAGGAGTACATTGGAAGAGGCGATTATGGAAACGCGCAGTACGCCTCTCGAAAATCGACCGCGACTTCCCGCATAGCCCTAAGCAAGCGGAATCGGGCTGTCGTGAGGGCTCTGAACCCAATGCTGGTGACCTATTTGGAAGCCAGCCGGGACCTTTGCGAGACGGACTCAATTCTCTTTGGCGCCGCACTGGCAGTCTGCCGTATTATAGGGGCCAAAGCTTTCCACGGCTGGACGCACTACTGGACAAAGTAGTGCTATCCCAGCCTGGAGAACAAGAATTGAAGAACGTATCGCAAAGACTAGGGCCCTCATCGGCAGACTGATATGCTTCAGGTCAGGCAATACCAGGCCAAGGATTGTGCGCACCGTCAGGATGGCGTTTGCTGGGACAAATGTTAGTTTGTCCCAGCCGGATATAATGCAAAAACTGACGGAGCGCATAGACGACCTGAAGCAGAGAATCGCTGCTTGGGGAAAGCGAATTCGGCGATATACCGAGAGGTCGACACGGTTCAACCAGAATCGTCTCTTCCAGAGTGATCAGAAGAGGCTCTATAAATCATTGGAGCGACCAATGGTAAGTGGAACGGGCCCAGTACCGAATCAGGCCGACACGGTCGCGTTCTGGCGCAGCCTGTGGTCAGAGCCCGTAAACCACAACGAGGGCCCTTGGACGGAAGTTGTGGCGAGTCAGTGTGCGGGTATTACGCCCATGGACCCCGTCACCATAACGCCGGATGACGTAGCTGAGGCGGTCCGTAGGGCCCCGAACTGGAAAAGTCCGGGACTCGACGGGCTGCATCACTACTGGCTGAAGGGGTTCGTGGTGTGTCACACTGTGCTCGCCCGACAGTTTCAAGAGGTTCTGAACCAGAAGTCGCTCCCGAGCCTCTTCACTACTGGGATCACCCATTTGGTTCCTAAAGGCCAGAGTACCACAGACCCGAGCAAATACCGCTTCATCACATGTCTACCGACCATATATAAGACACTAACATCCATTTTGAGCGCGAGAATCACTCGTCACCTGGACTCAAATCAGGTGATGTCGCGCGCTCAAAATGGATGTCGGGGCGGCGGTCGTGGAACCAAGGAACCACTCCTCATTGACGCGGTCATTGGCAAAGTGGTGAAACGCAACCGTCGGAACTTCTCCGCCGCCTGGATAGACTACAGAAAGGCATTCGACTCGGTGCCCCATACATGGCTAAAGAGAGTCCTCGAACTGTACAAGATAGACTGTACAGTTAGAGACTTCCTCGAGCAGTGTATGGGGCAGTGGAGTACGATCCTTTGTCATCTGGGCGAGCGGATGATGGCTGCGGAGAACCACATAAGGATAAGAAGGGGTATCTTCCAGGGCGATTGTCTGAGTCCAAAATGGTTCTGCCTCTCTCTGAACCCTCTCAGTACCTTACTGGAGGGCTCCGGGAGGGGATTTCAGCTACGGAAAGGAGGGACAAAAGTGACCCACCTTTTCTATATGGATGACCTCAAGTTATTCGCCTCCAGTCGCTCCCATCTTATGGAACTGCTAAACATCACTTGTGAATTTAGCAATTCCATTGGAATGGAGCTGGGGACGGATAAGTGTGCGGTCCTCCATGTTGAGAGGGGTAGGGTTGCTAACTCTGAGGGCATAGACTTATCTATGCCCGTCAACTTAAGGACCCTTTCCGAGGCTGAAACATACCGATACCTGGGTATGTCACAGAACATAGGTATCGATGAGGCTGGTATGAAAAAGTCAGTTTGCGACGTGTTTTATGCACGCTTGACCAAAGTGCTTAACAGCCTTTTGTCCGGTGTGAATAAGACACAAGCATATAACGGCTGGGTCATGCCTGTCCTCATGTATACCTTTGGCATACTCAGGTGGACTCAGACTGAACTTAACGCCCTGGATAGAAAAGTCCGCACTACCATGACGTCCCACAGGATGCATCATCCGAGATCGTCGGTAATGAGGCTGTACTTGCCGCGAAAGCATGGTGGGCGTGGCTTCTTGAGCGCGCTCACCATGCATAATCGCGAAGTGTGCAGCCTCCGTAATTACTTCCTGGCGAGATCGGATGATCCATTCTATAAGGACGTCATTTCTTGTGATAAAGGACTTACCCCTCTATCCTTAGCCAACGAGCAATGCCAAGACCCGGCAGTGCAGAGCATTGCCGACCGGGAGACCGTATCGAAGGAGAAGGAGCTCCACGGGAGGTTCTACAAGTCTCTACATGGGCCTTTCGTAGACACAGTAGCCTCTCTCCACAGGCTACGCTTTGGTGACCTCTTCGGGGAAACCGAGGGTTTTGTCTGTGCAATACAGGATCAGGTTATTAAGACCAACAACTATCGGAGATACATCCTAAAGGATGGCACCGTCGACATCTGTCGAGCTTGTCGCCATCCCGGTGAGTCACTTAGGCATGTCATCTCCGGTTGTTCGGCGCTTTCTAACTCTGAGTACTTGCACAGGCACAACCTAGTAGCCAGAATTCTACACCAGGAGCTCGCTCTGAAATACGGTCTCGTGGATCGGAAGTTGCCGTATTACAAGTACTTGCCGGAAGCCGTGCTCGAAAATGATCGCGCCAGGCTCTATTGGGACCGGGCCATCATCACAGACAGGACTATTCTTGCGAATAAGCCTGATATTGTGCTGATGGACCGGGCACAGTCAAGGATATTTTTGGTCGACATTACCATTCCGTATGACGAGAACCTCGTGAAAGCCGAAGCAGATAAGCAAACGAAATATCTGGACCTGGCTCACGAGGTGACCGACATGTGGGGTGGTCTGCCGACCGAAATTATTCCTGTAGTCGTCTCTGCAAACGGGCTAATCCCAGTCAGCCTCTCGGGTCATCTGAGGCGGCTGGGACTACGTGGCGGACCGCTCCAGGGTCAAATGCAGAAGGCGGTGCTCCTCGATACCGCCCGCATCGTCCGCCGGTTTCTTTCCCTTTTCCCCCTAACCCTCGGCCGTTTGGTCTCCCCTGCCGAGGGCTTCCATCTGGTTGGGCTTTTATTTATTTATGTATTTTCGTATTTATTTTATTTTATTGATATTTTTGTATATTTGTCTTTTCATTTTCGGTTATAATTATATATTTATACATCCCAACCAGATGAGAAAACTATATAGTAATACCCACACATAATAAATAATAATAATAATGCTTTATTTCACTAATACATTTTAATAAATAAATTTAAAGTCCCTGACTCCTATTGTAGGTGAAACCTGTATCTCAGGAGCCAGTGTCTTCTTACAAAAATAACTGTACAGATTACTTATATGTTGACAAAAATAAAAAATAAATTAATAAAACTAAAATTAAAATATTAATCTATAGAAATGTTGGTGTGTGCACGTGTGCACTCGCGCGTGCATGCGTGCGTGCTTGCGCGCGCGCGCTTGTGAGTGTGTTTGTGTTTTTTCAAACACACGTGTGTGTGTGTGTGTGTGTGTGTGTGTTCGTATGTATGTGTGTGTAAACATTGATATGATGTTCTGTAGGTTAATTGTAGGGAAAAAGTGATTCTGTTTCATGGTAACCAAAAGTGTAAAGCCGTAATATTATTTTATTTTTTATATCACAGTAGATATCTTTTTTGCTTTATAAGCTCTATTAAATTTGTTATATAAATATTGTGCTAAGTATTTGTACTTCTTTTTAGCAAAAACACTTTTAATTGCTATGATAGGACATCTGTTAATTTTTGTCCTATTTATTGGTAAATTTGGAATATCTAATCGGTGATATCTCCTAAGATATTTATAAATAAATAGCTAATAGTACCTCTTTTTAAGCTATGCGCGCACTGATTATAGAAAATACGTGGTAAGTAACGTTATATATATATATATAATATATATATATATATATATATATATATATGTATAAGAGGAAGATAGCATGCTGCAGCTATAATGGTAGCAGCACGAATAGGACAGCTCGACCGGAAAGACCACGCTCTTTCAGAATACAAGCGTGAATTAGCATCTTAATGCTGCTGTGTTTCGTATGGTGAGCGTAAAGAACTGGAGAGGCCTTTAACTAGAAACGAGGTATTCCATCTTAGTCCTCAGGGAAGGTAACACATCTGCAGTTTGATTCTTAATCGAGGAGAAATGTAGGTGTCTATGCGCCATCGTATCTGCTCGTTTGTCGTCACCGTTATTCTATAAAAAAAGAAAGTCAAAATTTTAATATAATTAAATATAATATGTGTAACAAATACATAAAATAAAATAAAATGAAACATACATTGTTTACGATCATACTGCAAATGTCAAGCACAAATTATGTCCTTTGTTGCTCAAAACAATACCTGAAGTTATGCAATAACAAAAGCTATAAGTACAATAAGTAAAGTTATTGTTGACGTACGTAATGCCAACGTCTCTGAGTAAGAACAAGCACAAGAATATTATTACTCAAAGGCTATTGTCAAACACTTAATAGTCTGTATTCAAACATTCGCACAGAGTAGAGATTGTCACTTAAGAATTTTTAAAATGTTGCCAAACAATAATAACTAACATATTGACTGAATGAGCTGTGAATTTCGTGTAATGTCAAATGCTCATTTTTCAATAGTGCGAGGAGTGTATACACGTTCTATCTATTAATATCTATGTTTTACGTAGAATACTATAATACACAATAGAATGGCTGTCAACCTTACTTTGTAGGAGGATTGGGGTCGCCGGGAGCACACATACAAGCAATTACAGTAGAGCGTCGATTATCCGAACTAATTGGGGGACATGGGTGTTCGGAAAACCGAATTATTCGAATAATCGAACTTTATAATTTTATGTACCAACATACCAATAAAGCATATTATATAAGTATAATACAAATTTTGTTTATTACTGTTGCAAATAGGAATATAAATAAAGAATAGAGAGCCTGGTTAAACAAAAAAATATTGTATAATCAATATTGAACATACAGTATGCCTATATAGTTAACGTTTAAAGAGTCCTTAATGGGGGCGTAATAATAAGACAATATTATTAAGATTTATGTGGAACCTATTCTCTTACGCGCAGCTAAATCGCGCACT